CTCAGCCAGCGCGCGCTGCGCCTTCTTCGTGTGGAGCTCCAATCGTACTTGGCGAGGGGCCTTATCAGGACTGATGTAGATCGGGGTCTGCGCTCCCTGGTTGTTCTGCGCCGCGAAGTTGCGCCAGCCAGCCGAGGTCCTGAGACCTTGTGCCAACGCCAGCGCCCGTGGTCGAGCAACCTCATCACCGCAGATCGTGCGCAGGAAGAACTTGCGCGAGGGGACCTGCCCGTCGAGCTCGACCTGGTCCATGGCGAGGCCCGACTCGGTGACCCATGCCTGGACGGCCCTGCGCACCTCCATCGGCGCGATGGCCGACGGTGCACCGATCGTGAAGAGGGTCGGCTCCGCCTGCCTCTCCCACTGAGCCAACTTCGCCGTGTCGAACGCGGAGGCCTGGGACTCAGCCAACGCGAGCGTCCTCTCCATGCGCGCAACAGTGTCACGAATCTTGTCCTGCTCGCGCTCTTGGGCGTCCTGTCGACGCTGAATGTCGGCGATGGTGTGGCTGTGCTGGTCGACCCTCGCGTTGGTGGCGAGAATCTGCTTGAAGCACATCCGCATGCTCGACTGGAAGTCGTCCTGAGCCTTCTTGAGCGTCTCATTGCAGACAGCCTGCAGCTTGGTGGAAGCAGCATCAATCTGCGTATTGAAGAGGTCCTGCATTCTCTGATCAAACTCATCAGTCGTAGGGATGCGTCCATCCCATGGGTCTCCACCCCCCTCATGCCATGGGTCCCTGGGACCACCGCTGGGGGGGCCTGCAGCACGGCCTCGCTGGGAGGCGGCGGCGGCGTCACTGGCGAGGCCAGGCGCGGCGGCACTGCTGCTAGCCCCCAAGGCGGCAGCTCCAGCTGTTGGAGGAAGCTCACCAGCAGCACGGGCAACTGCTCGAACCTCCTGCGATGGCAGCGTCGGCGCGAGGTGAAGCGCCGCTGCCAGCGCTGCATCCCCCTCTGGCTCCTGCGACGGGAAGGTGGGCATGGCGTCGAGCTGCGCAAGGGTGGCCGCCGCAGCCTCCCTGCGCGAGCGACGCTTGCGACGCGCCCGCTCTGCACTCGCACTGCCATGCCGAGGGGCGGACTTCGAAGCACGCTGCCTGCCGTCCAAGGAGTCCTCCGACGCCGAGCTGCCGTCGTCGAGGTGGTGCACCTCAGGTCCGCTGCCACGGGCTGCCATGGCTGCGCGGCGGAAGCAGCAGGCCCAGGGAAGGGCAGCCCTGGGCTGCAAACAGAAGATGTAAGAAGTAGGGCCAGGGGCCCGAGTGAAAGCACGATAGTGTAGCAAGAGAGGCTCAATTTGTGCCGTGGGGACCGGGTGTGGGCAGCCTGGACCAACTCCACCCCTCGCCCCAACGACATCTTGAGCCAAAATGGCTACGGATGAGGAGGAGGAGGAGGAGGAGGAGGAGGAGGAGGAGGAGGAGAAGGGCCACGAGGTCCACCGGCTCGACGCCCGCGTCGCCCGCGCCCGCCCCCTCACTCTTATCCGCAACTGCGGGGTGCTGCGTCTTTGCATGGGCTACTTCCCATAATGACATTGATTTGTTCTAGGACCTATGACAAACGCAACTTGGATGGAGGGTTGATTGCAACATCTTTAATGCGCCTTTCGTTCGCACCGGTCCTAGGGATGAAACGCCAAAGACTGAATGCCGCCCGCCCCCAGGTGGTGTCGTCTTCCCCCCTCTTCCGCCGTCCTGCGTCGTTCTTCTGCCTGCTCTACCTCCCGCTCGTCCCTCGGGCTGTCGCCCGGGTCTCGCCCTCCTCCCTCCTTTTCGGCTGTCGTTCCGGGTCGCTCGCCCTCCTCCTTCCCCCGGCTCCGGGTTCTTCCTGGTCCTGGGAGTCGTCCCTTCCTTTGCCCCGTGCTGCTGTTGCTCTGGCGGGTCGTCCACCTGGGGGCCTCCTGGCGAGAAGGCCTTGCACGAATAGATTTTTAGAGACCACCTGCCCGTTGCACTGGCGACGCCGTGGCTTCATAGTTTCACTGCGCCTGGTGGCGGTAGCGTCGGCGCTCAATTTCCTGCCCATGCACCTCTGACGTGCACGGCGTCTTCTCTCTCTCCCTCCTCCTCCTCCTCCTCCTCCTCCTCCTCCTCCTCCTCCTCCTCCTCCTCCTCCTCCTCCTCCTCCTCCTCCTCCTCCTCCTCCTCCTCGGATCCTTGACGGCTTTGTGGTATGGTGGCTTACGCGCGCCCGCTCGCAAGTTCTCGGCAGACATCGCTCCGTCAGCTGCCTGCTCATTTCTTGGGAGCGGAGCAGGGCACCCAGGGCCAGCACTTTTCTTTGATTGCTCGGGCGCCTTCTCTTCAGGAAAAGACGAGGGCACCGGGGGCTGGTTGTCGCGATGGCATAGAGAGTCGGTGGCACCGCTGACAGCCAGCGCAGTGGAGCGCCTCCAGGCACCGCCAGCAACCTGCAGGTGTTGGGCCAGCCGAACAGCCCAAGCAACACCTGGAGCGCCCCCATGAAGATGCAGGTAGAACACCTTGCCAGTCGACTGGCCGTGGAGAAAATTTTGGTCTGCTGATAAGCCCGCGTCCTGGATCCACTGCGCAAGGCCATGCTTGATCTCCGTGTCGGCCGTCGGCTGGGCACAGCCGATCCTGAAGATGCTGGGGTCGGGGGGTCTGCCATACGTGGCGAGCCGCGCGAGGTCCACAACCCCAGCCTCGGCATCTCGAGCCTGGGCCAGCGAGCGCTGCACCGCATCCATGTCGGAGCGAAGAGCGCCATGTCGAGCCTCCATAGCAGCAGCACGCTCCTGCAACTGGCGAATCTCAGAGTCGTGAGTGTCCAGCCGAGCAGCCTGCGGCCGAAGGAGGCCCACCACCGTGTCGCGCATGTCGTTGTTCGCCTGGCCCATGATCGAGTTGACCTCAGTGCGGACTCCAACCATCTGCTGCGCGAGAGCGGCAATGACAGCAGCCTCGATGGAATCAGCTGACGACGCCACACCAGCGCCAGGGGCAGCAGCTGCAAGGCCCGCAGCGGCGCTGAGCGCAGCACGCCAGGGGTCAGCACGGCCTTGGAGTGGGTCAGCTGCTTGAGTTTGGCCCAGCTCGCCGTCGGGGCATGTCGCCGCGAGCTCGATGTCACGAGCCATGGCTGGCGTGAGAAGCGGGTGTGCCTCCGCAGCGCCAAGGCCACGGTGACCCACCACGAGCATCGGAAGGAGCGCCTGCACCACGGCGCTGAGCTGGGAGCGGGGTACGGCCACCATGCCGAGAGCTCCCGCTGCAGGAACGTGATGATGAACCATCCCGATGTTGGCGACGACGGCGGTGCTGATCTTCTCTGCGGCGGCGGCGCGCACGGCGGCCCCGAGCGGAGGCTCCCCTGCCGCTGCTCCTGGAGGGATCAGGGGCCTCCTCGCTCGGCAGGTGCCGTGGGCGCCAGAAAGGAAGGCGTGCCAGAAGTGACGGGTGTCGGAAGAGCGGCGCCTGCAGCCGCAGCGTGGGCTGCCGCAAACGCACACGGCGGTCGCGAGGGAAAGGAAGCCTGCTGTGGGGGGCAGCTCGCCTCGAGCCAGCCCCTTGGCCCAACTTGGCTTCAGGCAAGTACGAAGCCGAAGGGCCACGGTTTCGTACTTGAGCCAAAATGGCTACGGAGGAGGAGGAGGCGGAGGAGGAGGAGGACGACAAGGAGGAGGACGAGGAGGAGGAGGACGAGGAGGAGGAGGACGGAGGAGGAGGACGGAACGCGGCAAACAACACATGCGAAGTCGGACTCCGCACTTCTCGTCTTCTGGAGGTGAGCGGAATGGCACAAGCCTCTTGAACACAGGTCTGGTCTCGGGATCTCATGACTCCATTCTATGTGCTGCGTCCTGCCTCTAGTGTCTTGCGTCCTGCGTCCTGCGTCCTGCGTCCTGCGTCCTCCTCCTCCTCCTCCTCCTCATCATCATCACCACCATCACCACCACCACCACCACCACCACCACCACCAGCAGCAGCAGCAGCAGCAGCAGCAGCAGCAGCAGCATCATCATCATCATCATCATCATCCTCCTCCTCCTCATCATCATCATCATCTTCATCATCATCATCATCCTCATCATCATCATCATCATCAGCAGCAGCATCAGCATCAGCATCAGCATCAGCATCAGCATCAGCATCAGCAGCAGCATCATCATCATCATCATGATCATCATCATCATCATCATCATCATCATCATCATCATCATCATCATCATCATCATCATCATCATCATCATCATCATCATCCCTGCCCCTCCCTCTTCCTCCTTCTTCCTTCTCTTCCTTATCGTGCCTCCTTCTCTTTCTTTTCGTCCTCACCCCCCGCGCGCGCGGTGGGGAGGGAGAGTAGGCCAGAGGAGAGGAGGTGGTGAGGAAGTGGGAGCGGAAGAAGACGAGGAAAGCAAAACTCGAGGACGCCATTGTGGTGCCGTTTGAGGCCGTGTCGAATCCGCTGCCGCTGCACGAATTCGAGCCAAATCGAGCTCGTTGCCCGCGTGGCGCCTGGTCGGAAAAGGTGCCGTGTAGTGCCGCTATGGTGCCGTGTCGAGCCCGTTGATCGAGTGGTGCAGTGTGGTGCTGTGTGGTGCCGCGTGGTGTCATGTCGAGTATGTCTCCCCTGTACTTGTGCATCTTGGTGCTATGTCGAACCCCTGCTCGGTGCCAGACAGTGCCGTCGAACCCACTGACTACCTACCAGACCACCCCAACCCCACCCGAAGACCCGAATTTCGGGTGGGGGGGGGTAAGGGTTCCACATGTGTTTTTTCTGTGTTTCCCGACCCCCCCCCACTGGAAATCGAGGGTCAATCTGAGCCTTCGGGTTGGGTTGGGGTGGTTTGGTGTGTGGTGACCCACTGTCCCTCCGGGGCCGCGCGTTGCTGCCGCGAAGGTCTGCGACTTTTGCAGGCTCTGCACCCGCACTCCCATGGCCTCCCTCCGCCGTGATGTGTGGATCTCCGCCTGCTCAGCCAGCACCTGCCCTCGACTGCATCCCGACCGCCCCCGACCACGCCGCGACCTAAGGCGCCTCGGGTGCGAACCATGCCGGGGCGTTGAGGTGCGACTGGGGCAGGGGGCGCTGCTCCCCCGTCGGCTTGCAGTACTCGCGCGCCGCCGGCACCGCGACCAGCCGCCTCGCGGCCCAGCCCGCGGCCGGCACCAGCAGGCCCGTGAGCGCGCCCCCGTAGCAGCAGCCGGTGTCCAGGCCGGTGGCGGCGGCGTGCAGCTGCAGGCTCCTGGACGCGTCGTGGCCGAAGACCACGTGCTCGGGCCCCTCCCAGGCGCCCGCCCAGGGCACCGAGCCGCCCCCCGCCGCCCCGTCTGCATCTCCGGGCCTGGGCTTCTCCAGGCCACGCCAGCCCTGGCCCTCGCGGGCCAGGTCCCTCATCCAGAGCAGGTCGCGGAAGCGCTGCCGCTCCAGGGGCACGCCGGGCACGAGGCCAGCGTGCACCACCAAGGCAGAGAGGCGAGGCACGCTCAGGGAGAGGGGCAGCTCTCGGAGCCACAGGATGTCCTCGGCGCCAACCTGCTGCAGCGCGTCGTGCCTGTAGGACCCCAGGCCTGCCGCATAGCGCCCGACCCGGTACCACGCCTCCAGTAGCTCGTCGTCGTGGTTTCCGCGCACGGCCCACGCGCCCAGCTGCCTGGCGAGGCGAACCACCTCGCCGCTGGCCGGCCCCTTGTTGACCAAGTCGCCGACGAGCACCAGCGTGTCCACCCCCTGCGAGAAGCCTACCACGTCCAGGAGGGCCCGGAGCTCCTGCGCGCAGCCGTGGACGTCCCCCACGAAGAGCAGACGGCCGTCCGCAAGAGGAAGACCAGACGTCACGAACAGAGGCTTTCGGAGAACTCCGCGCGGATGCCTGGGGTCGGCGCTGGACCCCCCTGCCCCGGCGCGCGCAGGCCGCCGGGGGCGGCGCCGGGGGCGCCGCCGGGGGGGCCCAGCGCCGATCCACGAGATCTGCGCGGAGCTCCGACAGTGTACTCCAGATTTCGTCATAAAAGGGAGGGGGTCTGGACCCTCCAAGACAAGCCGTTTCAGACCCCCCCCCGTGGGAGAACCCTCCAAAACATCGTCCCCAGACCCCCCAGGCCCTCCAAGATAGCCTGGAAGAGACCCCCCCCGAAATGAGGCCCCCCTCTCTTTCTTACGAAATCTGGAATACTTTGCTGTAGCTCACCTTAACGTCGGGCGCCGCGCCCCGAGGCGCACGATCCGCGCGGTCGTTATCTCCTCGCGCCCTCGCGCCGCCGCCCTGCTGGAGGAGAAGGGCGCCTCCCCGACTACGCGCCGCAGGGGGCGCAGCGGCGCGGCTGCCTCCTCGCCGCCGCGGGTACGCCAGATTTCGTAGTAAAGAGAAAGGGGGGCCTCATTTCGGGGGGGGTCTCTTCCAGGCTATCTTGGAGGGCCTGGGGGGGCTGGGGACGATGTTTTGGAGGGTTCTCCCGCGAGGGAGGTCTGAAACGGCTTGTCTTGGAGGGTCCAGACCCCCTCCCTTTTATTACGAAATCTGGAGTAGCCCACCCAGTTTGTGCCGCTTGCTCTTCCTCGAGTCTGGCCTCCTCGGCGCTGGCAGCGTCGCGTGCACGCGGCGCGGCAGTGGCGTCCCACTGGGCGCCAGAGCGTCGGGTCGGGCGAAAGGGGGGGATAGCAAAGGGGGGGTTTGAGAATCAGCTTACGCAGCTGATTTTCCCAGCGCCTCTGGCGCGATGTGTATCGAGGAATGGGCCCCTCGGTGAGGCCGAACCCAGCTGCATGCAGCAAATTTCGTAACCCCCCCTTTCCCAATCCCCCCCTTTCGTCCGACCCGAGAGCGGCTGCACCCGCGGCCCAGCCGCCGCAGCAGAAGGGCGCGCACGAGCGGATCCCGCCGCTCGCCACGGTGGCGCCCATGGCGGCCCCACGCGCCGGGCTGGCCGCGAGGGGGAGCCGCTCGATCACACGACGGCGGCGGCCACGGCCACGGCCACGGCCACGGCCACGGCCACGGCCACGGCCACGGCCACGACGACGGCCACGACGACGGCCACGGCGACGACGACGACGTGGCAGTGGAGGCAAGCAGGTCGAAGGAGGGGGGGGCAAAAGGGAACGGCGGCCGTGCCTCGCCACTCTCGGGCCTCGCGGAGGCTTCTCGTCGTCGGCAGAGCCGGGCCAGCCCGCAGAACGGGGGCGTCCAAGGGGGTGCTGGGCGTCCAGGGGGGGGGTCGCCAATCATGGCCAACGTGCGCAGACCATGGGGGGCCAGGGAACGCATTGAAACAAGAAGAGGGAACATGAACATTGGAGAAGAATATTTCCCCAATGTTCATGTCCCTCTTAATGAAGGAATGTAAGGACGACCTTAATTAAGGTTGGACGCTACTTAAGGTCCGATGGATGTTCATGGGAGCATGGCCCTGGCCACGACCCCCCCCCCTCCCCTAGCCGTCACCCCGAGAGGTAGTCGCCAGCATGGACCCTGGGAGGGACCCAGGGGCAGGTTTCGAAGAGGTCTGGGCCAGGCGGGGGGGCTGCCCTTGTCTCAACTAGTCGGGGCGTTGACCTAAGCAACCCTAAATAAGGAACGAGGCCCCTTTTTTCCCATAAGTTAAACTTCGATGTCCCATGGAAAACCCAAGGCAAGCTGTCAAACAATCAAGGAACACCGAGCCCCTCGCCAACGAAAAGGGTTCCTTCTTCAGCACCCCGACTGTAGCCTTTCTCCGAGCAGGGCAGCAGCAGAAAAGCGGAGCCGTAGGCTTCCAGGATGACCACGCGCGACGCGCTCGCCCATTCCTGAGGCCACCTCCGAAAGGGCCGGCCGCGGAGGCGGGCTGGATCCAGCAGCCCTCATCGAACGGCGCATGCATGCGTGATGCATCTCTTCGCAGGCCTGTGAAGAGCAACGCCATGCAAATCGGCGAATGACCAGAGCCAATGTCCAGCCAGAAACACTGCGCTGAACACAGCGATATCTAGCCAGGATGCTCGACACGCAAAGGGACCAAGAATCCCGCGAATCTAGACGAAACTGCTTGAAACTGCAAGGAGCCTTGTCGACAAACAAAGCGGGCACAAGCGGATGCGAAATGCGCGTGTATATCATTGACACTAGAAGCACGCGCGCTTTGCGCGCTTAGGTTCTAGCAAATGCCAGGCCTTGACAAATTCACGGCTGCATGCATTAACAAGTTCACGGGTGCACGCATGCGTGTACCCACGAATGGCCTCAGCCTCTCAGCTCTGGCGCAGGGCTTGCTCAACACAGTGAGTGCATGCCACGATCTGCGTTGGCGTTCATCCGAAACCGTATTGAGGCCTCTTGCGTGTTCAGCTTGGAAGTGCTGAAGCCTTGGACATCTTGGGGCTGGAGGGGCCGTCGCGCGCTTCTCGCTCGCTTCAGTTCTGGCACGTTTCAGCTTCGTCCCACAAACGTACATGCACATATCCATACACCCGTCCATTCCTACACCAATCCAAAAATACCTTCATCCACTGATCCCATCATCTGGAATTGATGAATACTTTCACCCAAATGCCGTCATGCAAGCAACCGAGAAACCACACATGACACACCCGTGAAATCATGTATCCAGGCATTACTCGATTCATGTCTCTTCACAAGCAGGTGTCCAGACATGCATGCACTAAGTAATACATGTGTCAGGTGGGGGGCCACCCGAAGGCCCCTCTAACCTGCCTTCACAAAACCCGTAGGCCCCCAGTAGACACGGAGGTCGCCCAATCCGCCAATTGCGGCACACACACACACACACCTCGCACGAAGCGCGCTCCACACAGCTCACCACCCACAGCTCAAGAGACAAAGTTCGCACAACATGATCCCGCCCATTTCTGGACGCCCCCCACGCGAATCGTGCACCGGAAAGAGCTCCACCCCTTATGGCACCAGTGGGCAACTTCGCATGGCGTCCCCCCGCCCACTTTGGGCACATGCCTCATGCGGGTCGTGCCCCATGGCGAGCTCCACCTGCGGCGTCGGCGCCCTTCGCCCGGCTCATGGTTTACTTATCTACAGTCGGGGCGTTGACCTAAGGAACCCTAAATGAGGAACGAGGCCCCTTTTTTCCAGAAGTTAACCTTCGATTTCCCTTCGAAAACGTAAGGACAACCTGGGGCTAACTGTGAAACAATTAAGGAACACGGAGCCCCACCCCAACGAAAAAGGGTTCCTTCTTCAGGGCCCCAACTGTACTGGCCTTGGGCTCATTCCGTCACCGTGCCTAGGATGTGGCTGAGGGGCTTATTGGATACGTACTTGTTGGGGTCTCTTGGCATGCTTCTCGGGCGCCTCTGGGAGCCAGCTTTGGTGCCTCTGGGGGCCTCTGGGGAGCTGCTTGGGGGCTTCTTGAGGCCTCTTGGGGGCCTGCTGGCGGTCTGGGGGGTCCACTTGGGGCTCTCTTGGGCCGTTTTGGGGCTCCCTTGGGGGCCCCTTGGGCCGTCTTTGGGCGATCTCGGGGGCCTCTTGGGCCATCTTGATGGTGTTGAAACCTAAAAAGCGAATGTGCTGAAAATGCATATTTTCCCAAAGGAATGGCGCAATTTTGGCCATCTGGGGCCCTCTTGGGGAGGATCTTGGAGCCTGGGGGCCTCTTGGAAGCTCTTCGGCTGTCTTGAAGCCATCTTGAAGGTTCTTGGGGCCCTGTTGGGCCGCTCTGCGCCCCCTGGGAATTATTTTTGAGCGGCCGGGGAAGGCCCGGGAGGCCGTGGAGGGGGTCTGGATCTCCAGTGCCGAAAAAGGGATGGGGGGGGGGGAAATCTGGGAGGGTGTGCCAACCCGGGGCCCGGGCCCCCGGTACCCCGGTAGACGGAGCACCCCGCAGATGCGGATAAGAGTCAGGGGGCCATGGGGACGCCGGCACTCTGCGACACTGCGGAGAAGCCCGCCGCAGGCGCTAAAATTTCACAAATTCATGTTTTGTGTTAAACCACCGTGGGTCGGTCGCGGGTGGGTCGCGAATGGGTCGCGGCTGGCTCGCGGGTGGGTCGCGGGTGGGTCGCTGTTGGGTCGCGGGTGGGTTGCATGTGGGTCGCGGGTGGGTCGCGGGGGGGGTCGCGGGGGGGTCGCTGTTGCGTCGTCGCGGGTGGGTCGCGAGTGGGTCGCGGATGGGTCGCGGGGTGGGTTGCGGATGGGTCGCATGTGGGTCGCGGGTGGGTCGCGGGGGGGGTCGCGGGTGGGTCGCGGACGGGACGAAGACAACAAACAAACAAACAAACAAGCACACAAACAAACAAACAAACAAACAAACAAACAAGCCAGCCAGCCAGCCAGCCAGCCAGGATGACGGCCTGCCGCAAGCCAACAGGGCTCCGCGAGGTGCAGATACCCAGCTGACGCGCAAGGTTCTCACAATGGCAATCTCGCAGCCAGGTGCCGAAAGCGCCAGACGCGGCAGGTGCGCCGCGTCCCACTGCCGCCTTGTTTTTCACGCATCGCTTGCGTCGCTCGCCCCACCGGACCCGATGTTTCATGCGTCGCTTGTATCGCTCGTTAGAGGACGAGAGTAACAGTTGAATACTCTGTATATGTTTACCAGCGATGCGATCGATGCGTTGAAAGTAAAGCCCGATGGGACGAACGACGCGAACGACCCTGAAAAGATAAGGCGGGGCACGACAAGAGCCAACCCAAAAGGGCCGAAAGAACCCGCGGCCGCCGCGGCCCCACAAGCCTCGGCGCCCGAGCAACAAGGCCCACCTCCGACTGGCCCGCGGATCGGCCGCGGCACGCCCCTCGCCGCAGCCGCCCAGCCGCCGACTGCAAGCCGGGAAGCCGCCGCCCGCGCCGCGCGCGGGCGCCGCGGCCGCCGCGCAGACGGCCGAGGCCGCCGCCGTGGCACAGGCGAGAACAGAACGGAACTGGCCGCGCTTGCCCCCGACCTGCAGAGCCAGCACGCGCGCTTCACGCGCGCGCGGACATGGCCCCCCCGCGGACAGGCAGCCTGGGGACTTAACGCGGCAGAGAAGGAAACACCTAGAGCGGCCTACCTGGTGGCCCACCCCGAGGCACGCCCGCAGGCCTCGGGAGAAATTGGCGACCATTCATGCCGCATCCATGTGTCAATGCCCCCCAATGGTCAATGTCGGCGATGGGTTGGATGAGTTGCACTCCGACAGCAGTCTCCGCCGCGCGTGTCAACTTTGAATTTTGGGGGGCGCGGGAGTGTCCACTACTTGTTCCCCTCGCCCGTCTCACGTCTTGGGTTATGCCGCCGCGCGCGAGTGGGCTG